CCCATTCTTTTCTATATGCTAATTTATCCCACTGAGACCAATGAATTCTATTCCCTCCCCTATCATTTTTACCCCACCAAAAAGCAGCCACACTCTTGCAGATATCATCACACACAACAAAGGGTAACTTATAACAAGCCATAACATAAATATGGATAACATTCAACACAGTATTGATCGGGAATTCCTTACCAGCTTCACTAAAAAAAGACATTATTCCAATTCTGAATTTTCTTTTTTACTCTATCACTCACAAATTTGAAAGTGTCTCTTTGATTTCCCCAGTCCTATAGGAAGACCTAGATGCTTAGCAGATGAAACACCGGAAAGATTACCCCAAATCGAACACACAACAGAGACACATTGAGTATCTGGAATTTTAGAGATAAAAAATTGCTGACTTTTGCAAATTAACCTTTTGACCTGAGATAGTTTCATACTCCAAATGAAAGCTCCCTCAAGAAAATGGATTGACTCACTGCAGCTTGACGAAAAATAATGACATCATTAGCAAAATATAAATGACTGAGGTTAGGACAATGCTTACTCACTTTCATCCCTCTGAACTCCCATCTCAAGCAAGATTGTACAAGCAAGATTGACAAGGCTTCTGACAACATAATGAACAGGTAAGGGGATAAAGCATCCCCTTGCCTCAGACCCCTAGAAGAAATAATAGAACCTAGCACTTGATCATGAATATTGAAGGAAAAAGAAGAACTACGCACACAAGTCATAATCCAAGCAATGAATTTATCATAAAAGCCCATAGTCTTACACACTTTAGCCAAAACAAAGACCATTCAACTCTATCATATGCTTTGGACATGTCTAACTTCACATCCATGAAACATTTTTGCATTTTCTTACCATTAAGAAAATGAATACATTCAGAAGCCATATTCACATTGTCCAGTATTTGTCTATTAGGAACTAAAGCATGTTGATTGAGAGATATGCAATTACTCAAAACAGTCTTTAATCTATTAGCAATGATTTTGGAAATAGTTCTATAGGTAACTGTGCACATGCTAATTGGTCTAAAATCAACCAAAGAAGAAGCATGTTTCTTTTTGGGAATAAGGGTAATAACATTGTGGTTTGTAGCTTTAGGAAGTTTGCCAGACAACCAAAAAAAAAAAAAATAGAAATGGCTTTACACAAATTCGAATGAGACCGCAGACCGTGAGGGCTAGGGGTTTGAAAGAAGGAGTCTGGACTGATCGAAGCTACTGGAGCGAAGAGAAGAGCATGTACCGTTACGAGCTAATGACAGGGTCGATGTAATTGAGTGGATCAGCTCGTCCGCGAGGGTTGTTTCAAATGCGTTTTCCTTAGTCGTTGACCCCAGCCTAAGGACACTGATACCAGGGCAACGCATTCCTAACACTTCTTTAATGGAGGATCATTATCAAGAGCAGGATTTCTCTGTCGAAAGCCCCAAAACTGGCTATTTTATTGCAGACAACTACCGCAAGCCTACTCAACTCATTTCATCAGGTCCGCTGTGACTATCCTGGTCACCTTTCCTTTAAAAGGTGAGTTTTAATGACATGCCAAGAAGATTGAAAGAACAGAGGTGATATACCATCAATGCCAGGTGCCTTGTTGGGATCCATATCCATCACAACTGCTTTAATTTCTTCCTCAGTCACTTCTTTCACCAAGTTCTCGTTCATCTCCTGGTTTATGGTAGTAGGAATTCCATGAAGATTACTGCTTTCCAGTTGAGGGTCAGATGTAGTGAAAAGATTCTCAAAATAAGCTTGGACCTCATTGCAAATCTCTTGGTCAGATTCACATCTATTCCCATTTGCTGAAACCAGATTCTCCAGGTTGTTTGTGTTTCTTCTTTGTTTAGCAAATACCTAGAAGAATCTTGTATTCCTATCACCAGCATTAAGCCATTGTACCCTGGATTTTTGGAGCCAGTATATTTCCTCATCTTTGTAAGCTTGGTTTAGTAAGAACTTGCAATCTTCCCACTCTCTCCAATCTCAAAAACCCCCTTGTGTCTCCAACCAAGTCAGAGTCTGCTTGCGCTCACTTATCAATTTGGCTGAGTTAGAAGTTAACCCAGCTTTCCAGTGCAGAAGAGTTATTCTTACATTTCTGATCCTAAAGCAGCTAATTGTATTAAATCTACAGAGTGTCTCCTAGACTGTACAAGAAGTAAGATTTAATCTTAGAGCGTCTCGCAGTTAAATTTAAAACAAGGACAAATTCAAGTAGTAGTGCGTGTTGTTACCTAGGGCTAGTAATTTTATAAGGAAACAAGATTTGATACCAAAAATTGATTAGACAAGTCGGTCCAGGGTGTAAATGGAACCGTGGACTATAACCTTCCTCATTTATTTAATTAATCATCTTTATTTGTTGCATTTGATTTTATTTCATTGTCTATAATTCTTAGTAGTTAATAAATTCATACCACAAAACCCCCTTTTATTAT